CCCACTTTTCGTTCAATATTCCATTGCTCTGGTCGTTAATCTTAATTGAATTTTGAATTTATCTTTGGTCAATGTTTCATTGTTCTAATCAATAAGTTTGGTCGAATTTGATTGAAACTATACGAAAACTGTCACCATCATTAAAACTTTCACTTACTTACGCCATCTCCTCAGTCAGTACATTTATTTCTGATTTGATTTAAATTTTAAGAAAAACTCTTAAATGTAACTGTATGTTCTAATGGATTACATGTCATATGAAATGTAATTAAATCACTGCTTGGAAAACGTGCTTTCACCATTAACGTTATTTTTTGTTTATCGTACTGACCGGACAATATGGGATAATATGCCCTAATTTGAAATTTTTTGTTTTCTTTTTTGTTGGTATCAAAAATTTTATTATTTCATTTTTTTTACCATATTTAACAAAATCATTTGATCAGTTTGCATAAGACATAAAAATGAAATAACTTTTTTTTCAAACGAGAAGAGTCGTACCATTAATACCTTTTTCAGAAATTGAAATTTAGTTTACTGTTGAAATTGAAATCTCAGAGAAATTTAAATTTGCTTTTTTTCTCTCTTTGTTAAAACAAACTATGATTCCTAAATACATTGCTTTCCATTCTTTTATTTTTTTTAAATTAAAATAGTGCCAAGTTTTTTTTAAATATTCTTAGCTAATTAGTGATTTTTGGGTCTTAAGATTATTGACGAAAATATTTATGAAGAAAAAGGGAAGAACAAGACAATTTATTTACTTACTTCTGGCATTCTTGTTTTTGCCGCCAATTAATTACAGTGTATTTTTTCTAAGCAAAATCAATGAAAAAATCATTGCAGCTGACTAAAAGTATTGCGATGAAATAATTTCCTCTTTAATACATTTTACGTGAAATAAAAGTGAAGATTAACAAACTTTAATTTAATTTCGGTTCGATAATTATCGGTTAATCAGGAAGTGATTTGTGAAATTTTAACGAGATATGATGTAAGAGTTTTGAAACTGATAATAAATGATTTGATTAAAATTACTACTAGTTAAAATTAAAACTGCCAAATTAAAGTTAATTAGTCCTGAAATTGAAAATTGAAATATTAATTGAGGTGCACAAACAGTAAGTACAGTGTCGAAATTGCTTCGACAAAATGATTTTCGACTCTATTATCAGATACCATCCTCAGACGAAAATACGATTCCAATTCGCATACCATTATGCTTGGCTTATATGAGTGTTGCAGAAAAGGTAACTAATTCGTTAACTAATTAATACTTTACTACAAAAAAAATCTGTTGAACAAAATTCATAATAACCATTATGGCAATAAAAAAATGTATTTGAGTCAAATTTATTGATTTAAAGAAATCATTTAATTAATTTGAATTTATTTTCGAAAAACAATTAGAAAGGATGTACACTAATTAAACTTTTTTATCTTTTTGCTTTTTCTAAAAATGGCAAATGATTTTAGATCTATCATTTTCCAATATCATGTACAATAGATGAACAAACTGGTAGGGAATCCTGGCGTGTATTATACGGTGATCCAAGGCCACCCTCATTCGCAACATTATCAGCTTTGGTGAAATATCATAAAATTTATTCTTATATGGATCCAAAAACAGGTGCCATTGATACATTTCCGATTTGGAAGGATGCTGTGATTGATTTTGATATAACTGATTAACAATGATATGGGCTGCATCATACGGCAACTTTAATATGACTGTGATATGCAAGTGTATAAATCATACAAATTATCTTTTCTGATATAAAAAACATTTTTCCATGATGCATATTTTACTCGAATTAATTGCTAAAAATTTCCTTTTTGTAATTTTGTTTTTAACCTGTCACAGTAAATTTTTCAACACTATTTGTTTTCGATTTTTTTTAACATATTAAATTAATAATTAGGAATTTTTATTTCATTTGAAATAACAACAATGATTTTGTTTTATATGGAACAAAGTAATAATTTTTTAATGCTCTAAGATTTTTTCAAACATTTGTATATTTTAATTAAAGGCAAAGTTTATAGTTTTGATATTATAAAGTGGCTAATATTTAAAGGTGTAAAGAATTTAAAACAATTGTTTTCTTTTTTAAAACACCTTTTTTTTAAAGGCGAGTCTTTTTCTACTGCAAGTTTTAACACAAAATAAAAAGTAAACTTTTTTTCTTTTTTCGCGAACTTTTGACAAGAGCAAGAATTTCTGGTGTTTTTTTTTTAGGAATTAAAGAGTGAAAGTTCCTAAATACTTCCGTTTTATCAACATTAAGTAAAAATTATTTCTATTGCTTTTTTAGCAAATTTTTGATTTTCCCTTTTTCAAATTTTGTTTTATTCAAAAAAATAGAAGCAAAAGAAAGATATTTATTAAAATTCAAAAAAATATGCAACAGCTTTTAGAACTGTACAAACAAAAATAAATTCTTAGAATGAAACTGTTTATTAAATCATTAAAAGCATATCTTATCCAACAAGAATTGATGAATTTCTGGCCAATAAATTTACCACATTTGTTCATATGTTCTCGGCCAACATTAGCAAACATTTGCGCCATTAGAGGTACAAGCGCTAAACCACGAGTGCTAGAAATGACATCAACATGCCATTCGAGCGCATCTCTTCGACCATCAATATTTTCCACTGATTCCAATGACCCAACTTTTATTTTCTTAAAACCTATTGCAAGTACAACATCTGCATAACCTGAAGAGAAATAAACTTTCCGGAAATTTACTAGTTCTGAAGATTATACGAATGATATAAACTGGTTTATCTAGGATGTAAAGATATTTGTATATAAGGTATATAAGCCATATTAGATTTTGTCCATGTTGTCGCTGATATCGTGACTGGAAGCAAAGAACAATAATCTCCTATGTTGGTTAGAGGATATTGGGCGTTGATTTAGTCTTTTTGTTCTTAACCTTTTTGCTGTTAATTTGTTACATGGATGTCGTAATTGCAAGTACAGAGCCTATTGAGCCTAGCAAAAAAAAAAAAAAGCAATGCACGGAATGGATAAGAAGAATTCATTTTATCCAATAAATACGATAATTCGACAATCAATAATCAAAGAAATTTGCATTTCAGAAGGAAAAACGAATAGAAAGTAGTAGAGATGATTGAGGTTTCTGATATATTTATTATTAGAAGTATGAAACGATTGAGCGGTTTATCGATGGTGCTAATGCTAATGGTCTTGAAAAGCTGCACACTTTTTATCGGCTGCGTAACAACATTTCAGTGCTAGTACTACACTTATTGGTACTATTATTTGCTAATTTACTCTTCGATTCCTTTCATTTTCCTGAAGTAGTTTGTTTTCCTGACAGAAATAAGACGGACTAAGTATAATTCGATCTAAGGCCTTATTTGAGATGGAAAGGAAAATTGTCATCTTTACTGATTTTAAATTTTGTTTTTCCTCCGCATGACATAATTGATATTTTAAGTAATATATGAATGAATGATTAAATTGAAAAGTATCATAATACTCGTTAGAAGAACTTATTGCTGGGCTCAATAGGCTCTGTATTCGCCAGTTAGACATTTACCATAGTAACACTGAATATTGGAAAATCCCCGGTAAACATTGATAACAAAACTTTTTGGTGCTTTATGAGTCATTTGTGCTACTAAATCGGTCTTATTTACTTTGCATTAAATTATATGATGATAAGGGACCTTTTGAACTTACTATCCCAACTAAAAGGAATAGGAGAAAACATAGAAACAACACAACTGGACGTGATGGTAAAATAAGTGACAGAATATTAGAAAACATGGCTAAGGGTTTAAGAAAGAAGTACAGGGACCCAGAATGGACAATGGAAGATACAATTAGATATCAAAAAGAAAAGATGAAGATCGAAGAATCTGAAATGAAACCACCGGAAAAGAAGAGAAGCTTAATAGACAGGACAAAGATACAATGAGCAAGATCACTGGAAAAAGATTCACGAATTGGAAGAGTGGCATCAGACGTTCGACAGTTTGTTCAACAGCGAAGGAGAGAGTATATCTTAACAAAGTGTCACAAAATAAAGGGGGAGGTCGATCACCGCGTGCTTTTTGTGAAAGTAACCATTGCTACGTTGGATGTGACGCATATCCTACTGTTGACGAAAGGATGGAAAGATTAAAGAAATTGGGACATTGTGAATTATGCTTGAAAAACGACCACTTACAAGAAACATGCGTGAGAATAAATTGTTTTTATTGCGGATCTGGCCACAATAGTGCTTTGTGTAGGAAACGCAACGAAATGAAGAAGCAAAGCAAGCATTTCAAAAATGGTGAAGAATCAAAGACAGTGGTGGCCACGGTTGCGGATGACAGTATCTGGGAAACGTATATGATCTATAAAGAAGTAAGATTAATTAATTGAGGTCTGGATTAATTAGGCAGATGAACCAAGAAAAATATCAAAGGCCTTAATTTTCTTCGATACATGAAGTGATTGTAACTATGTTACAGAATCAGTGGTAAGCAAATTGAATTTTAAGCATACATCACCGAGTGTGAGAATGCTAACAGGAATGGTGGGCACAAGGAAATATGAATGCCCAAAGATAACCTTCCGAGTTCAAACACTGTGCGGGAATGTGAAGAATATCCAAGCGTATATTGTCGATTCAATACTCGAACGAATACATATGTAACAATGAAAGAAAGAAACTAGCTGAAGGTAAGTGGGGAAAAACCAAATATATTATTAGGCGTAGAAGGGATTGCAGACTTAGTCATTCGTAATTCCATAATCTGCCCATCAGGATGGATGATTATGTAAACAGAAATAGATGGTAGAAGGAAAACAGAAATATGGAAATAGAAATAGGTGAAATAGAAATAGGTTAAAATATTTCATGCATGAAAATGAAATCATCAATATTTGTTGAGGTAAATTGTCACATTGTCCTCAAAAAGTATTAATTATGATTATCACCGATTCTGCGACTTTTGTTTCTCTGCTCAAAATAGCAAGGAAAGAATACTGTTTTAAAAATTGTTTTATTATTCTTTCTGGATTACTAATCTCGTATAACTGTAATATTTGCTGCTGGTCAATTCATTTTATTGCTCACCTTTCACTAATACATTTCGATCGTTACTCATTTATTCATTTATCATTTATTCATTTATTCATTTATTCGTTACTCATTTATCATTCATATTACTCATTTATTATGTATTTCAGTACGCAAACTCCAAAATATATTATTATCACAAATTGTGTCATTTGTGATAATATAACATTTGCCACACATAACCAATAGAGACTTGAATAGAGGAAGAACAGGACATCTAATTGCAAGATTAGAAAAAATACAAAATAATAAAGATTTTAATAATGCTTAAGAATACAATTCGAAAATAGCCCAATATGTCCCAAAATGTTTGCATTAACAATTGACTAATGCCACAAAAACGAAAAACCGGAAATTTACATAACAATACTACAAAATGCAAACAGAGTTATTCAATACTGCACCTATGGATTAAATATTCCTTTAACCAATGACATTTAATACGAATAATCCGCCAGTTTTAATTTATGCAAATCTTTACGC